GCACGAGTGTCTCTGCATGTGGAGGTTTAAGACTATGTTAGATGTTTTCCTTGATTACTCTCCAACTTATTTTTGATACAGTGTCTCACTTAAGGTAGAGCTCACTAGCTAGATTAGGCTGGTTGGCCAGGGAGCTCCATGGAATTCTATAGATACATCTCCTGTACTATTGGGGTCACAGAAGTACACAATATTCACAGTCTTTTATGTAAGTGACGGAGATGGTCAGGTCAATATACTTGCATAGTAGTCAGTAGTCACTTCAGGAACAGAGCAATATGCAAAGTTCCCAACCCCTTATTTATCTTTTTTTGTTTGTTTGTTTTTGTTCTTTTTCAAGATAGGGTTTCTCTAAGAAACAGTCCTGGCTGTTCTGGAACTCACTCTGTAGACCAGGCTGGCCTTCAAACTCAATAAGATCCACCTGCCTGTCTCACTTGCTTTTGATCATGGTTCCATCACAGCAATTGAAACCCTAACTAGGATAGCTGCCTAGGTGGTTAGGCAGGTGAGGGTGCTTGCCCCCAAGCCTGACGATGTGGTAGACAGAGAAAACTGGCCTCACAAGCTCTCTCTCTCTCTCTCTGACTCTGCACACTGGCCCATGTACCCCATCCCAAGTTAATTAAATGTATTTTTAAGCAGTCATGCTGGTGAAGACTGTCTTTTCAATTATCTGAATGCTGAAAATACATTTCTTACATTTCTTTGGGGAACAACGTACATGTAACAGGAATCTATTGTCACTTATATGTGACACATAAACTACATAAGATAAATAGAGGGTGCACATCTATTTCTGACATCTAGAATAATTCAGAGTGAACAAAAAGACACCTATTTGGTTTGAAGTGGACTTATTCCAACAATGGTTTCACTAGAAGCTTTTAATTGTTGTATTGTTTTGTTTTGTTTAGTTTTTTTTTTTTTTTTTTTTTTTTTTTTTTGCCATTCTCTCAGAGTGAAATTGTTAATGCACCTCCACTGTAGGAGGAAAGATAAATGTCTGAGAAGGTATATTTCATTTCTGTAACAGAAAAACAGAAGAGATATACAAAGTTCACCCTGAAACCCGACTCCTCCCTGTGATGCACCTGCAACCCTCCGATCCTAGACAGCTCCTCAAACACGCTGGTGCAATGAAACTCCTCCGAGCCATTAGTCACACTCTGAGGTAAAACCTGTGTGGGAGTTCCTAGACTCCACAGCCCACTTCTGATAATTGAACCTCACACCCAGACAAGCCATTCGCTTTTCTCTTCCAATGTGCAGTACTTTAGTTGATAACCAAACAAGGACCAACAACTTTTAGTCTGGCTAACATACTCTGAGCATATTTCTTGTCTTGATTTGAGTACATCGTGCAGTTAACAAGGGAGGTTATTCAAACCCTGATGTCTGTTTCCTCAGCAAGTGTCCATCTTGTCTGATGGTAGAAAAGCCACAGTGATTTTGCTTCCTACACAGCATTGCCCATGGTGGAGTCCCAGCCCTCCATGGTCTTCTGCTCTGCCTCCTTCTCCTGTACATGCTACGCTTCAGTCTTTCATCCCAAACTTCAAGTTGCTTTTTTTTTTTTTTTTTTTTTTTTGTTTTGTTTTGTTTTACATTGTCATTCTTCAAAATGAGTTTTCCATCCTCTAAAGGAACCCTTTTGGATCTCAGTCAGTGTTGCCAGGACTACCTCAGCTCTGGTCCCTCTCCAGATCTGCTTGCAGGCCCTACTTCACCAATGGCCAATGCATCAAATACCACTCAACCAGTGTGTTCTCCGTCATCACCTGTCCCTATGCTGGCTGGCTTTTCTGCACTCCCTAGCGTGTCTTCAGGAGGAAGAAGGCCAATCTCCCAGATTTCCTGTAACTCACTCCAGAAACGTCCCTGGCAGGCAAAGGAGGAGATAGATGACTTGCTCTTGCACACTTGCACCTTGGAATTCTTACTTTAAAATATTCAGTTCATGAGGAGTGTTAGAGAAAAGAAGAAACATAGGCTTCTTCTGAAAACAAAGAATGAGATCGTGTCTATTACAGGATCAGATTTAAACATTGTTGCTTTAATTTACTGTAAACATCACAGGAGTATTTTTTGAGATGTGATTTAGCTACATCTGCATAATAATGAAGTTAAAAATAACTGAAACTTTGGTTCTTTTTCTTGTTGGCCATGTGTAGCCTTTTAATCCCACTTATTGTGTTTTCTTCTCTCTCCCATCTGTAGTTCCTCTTCAGACTGGATCTACAGTTTACAGTGAGAGACAAGCTATTCATTTAAACCACCACTAGAATCTGTGCTTCTGGACTCAAATTAGCAATGCAGCATGGGAGGGGAGGGAGGAAAGAGGGAGGTTTAGGCCTTTCAGAAAGGGAAAGAAATGCTTATTTTCTAATAGATATGGTTAATGGATTTTATATGTCAACAATCTAATATATAACACATTAGAAAATATCACAACACAAGCTTTACAAGATAGACATGAAAAGGAAATAGTGAGGAGGGAGCAGTGAACAGGGCTTATACAAGCCTTTGAAATCACCTGTGCCGTTTTTTGACAGTCTTATGTTGTTTGGTGCTGCTAGGCTCTCCCAAGCCAGGCCCCAGTGTTCACCTGGCTTCAGGCTATGAAATGGGTTAAGGCACAGGCATTTGACACTGTACCTGGCTGGGGTATGACTTTTCCATTTCCATTTGCTTCTGGTATTTCCTGAAATGCCCATACATATTGGTATAAAATGATGGAGGGTGCCTACAATGCACCATGTGTTTATTCAAACTGTATGAGATACTGTGGCTGACGAATCCAATGTGTAAGTAGAGAGAGCTTCCCGATTGACTAGTTAATACATAATGTTTCACTGAAATTATGTTTGGAGAAAATTTTTGACATTAGTCAGAATTTCAACAAAATGAAACCCGAAGTATGAGAATGTACTAAAAAAGACCCGTTGAACCCTCACCTGGCATTTCCATGTAAACCAGTTGTCAAACTGGACCTCATTTTTTAGTGGCCATTATATATAGTCTTACAGAACTTAATTTAAATATACAAAATTAGGATAGTTATATCTTATTATACTCTGAAAGGAATGAATTCCCTTTGCATTTTTCAACTTCCCGTTTGAAAAATCCCCAGTCCTTTAGTGTTTCCAGAACCCACACACAGTTCCTCTGATAGGAAAATAAATTCTGTGGAGCCCTCTTTTCTGTTTCTTAGGGTATTATTTTTAAATTCAGAACACCCCCTAAGGTTCTTCCCCATGTGCATTGGCCTAGGGATGCAGGAGAGGAAGACAATGACATGAGGACTGTCAGCTGTGCAAACCCTGGCTGCCTGAGATAGCGCCTGCCAGGTGCAAGGGCTGTCCAGACCTCAGGAGACTGATGTTTGCTCCCGACATCCTCACCTCATCGGGCAGGAAATCAGGGGACCCCAGGTTTTCCCAGCATGTGTCTGCTGTTCCTTTCTTGGAACTCCTAGTGTCAACACTAAGGGGCACCAGAGCCTTGGACTGCAGAGCCAGCCTGGAGGAAGGTGCTGAAGTCCCAACGCAGAGGAGCCCACCCCGAGGGCCTGGGCAGCAGGCACAGTACTCTAAGCGGGTGCCCTAGGGTCATCGGGGGTCCTCTGGAGGAATCATCTGATATAAGGTCCCTCAAGCCTAACACAGGTGGGGCGTGCCATACTGATGGTGTTTCCCTAGGGCTGGGGAGACCTTTTGTCGCCGCTTACTTTGGAGGAGGAAACATGGTCAGACATGGAGTGCAGTGTGATCAAAGCTGCAGAGCACAGGCAGTGCTGAGGAACAGCACCATGCAGGCAGACACACAAGCACAGGCACCTCGCATCCTTTCCAACCCATAAAACCGATTTAGGACACATAATGAACACAGGGGAGCTGTCTAGGGACCCCAGGAACGTTCAGGCTGAGCCTTCAAAGTCACCTCGTCCGACCCTCCTCTAGTCAACCTGCTCTTTCTGTGGACTGTCTAGCGAGGGGAACTATGCCCAGCCCCTGGTCACCATCAGGGACCTCTTGGCCGCCCTCCCATGGCTGGGACTTGTCCCCTGGACTGCGGGGTAGGGAAAAGCTGGGGACGCTGGACAGCAGCATTTGCCACTCAGCCGGTGTCCTGACTCCGAAATAAAAAGTGGGGAGGGTCGGCAAGCCTAGGGCAAGAGCCTGGGTGCCTAGGGCTCTCCCGGAGGGGGCTGCGGACAGCTGCTCTCCAAGCCGCCACCTGGCGCGTCCTCGTCCTCCTCCCCGGGCCGAGCCGCCACCACTGCATCAGGATAGAGAGACCTCGGGGCGGGAGGAGATGACGCAAAATCCAGCGCTCCCCCCAAAAAAGTGTGCCTCCAGGACGAAGATGGCGGCAACTTAGCCTGGGGACTGAAGATGACTGTGGCCTCCGGAGGCCCAGCGCAGGCGACTCGGCTCCCGGCGGCGCCCGCGGGCAGACCTGCAGCGGCCGCAGCGACAGTCGGAGAGCGGGGTGGGGGGTGGGGGGGAGGGACAGCTCCGCCGGCGGCCGCCCAGGCTTGGGGCGCGGGGAGAGCCAGCGCGAAGTAGGCGCGGGAGGCGGAGGAGAAAGCCAGCGACGGAGAGGAAGGAGGAGGAAGAGGAGGAGAAGAGGAGGAGGAGAGGAGGAGGGGAGGCGCTCCGGTCGCCGTCAGTGGGCAGCGGAGACGCGGCATGCCCCTGGCAGGGGAGAGCGGGCTGTCCTCAGCTGGGCCATGGGGACCCGCGCTCTGACAATGCCGGGGTGACAGCAGCAGCGCCAGCCACCCCGCCACCTCCACCACCATCACCTCCCGCACTCAGCCTCCCCACCGGCCAGCACAGCTCCAGCCTCCGCGTCTCTCTCAATCTCTCTCTCTCTCTCTCTCTCTCTCTCTCTCTCTCTCTCTCTTATTGTCTCCCATTCTCAAGGGGATGGGGTCGGCTGATGATTAGGTGGGAAGCAAGATCTTTGTCTAAAGTATGTTAATATTTATGTAGACGGAGAAAGAGAGAGAGAGAGAGAGAGAGAGAGAGAGAGAGAGAGAGAGAGAGAGAGAGAAGAAACGGGAGGAGGGGATACGGAAATTAAACCCTTTAAGTCAATGCATATTGTGGTGACACCGGCACAGGAGCCCTCACGGTGGAGTCGGCCAGGGCTGTGCGTTCCCAAAATATGACCAGGGGTGCTTGGATGTGTCGGCAGTATGACGACGGCTTAAAAATCTGGTTGGCAGCACCCCGGGAGAACGAGAAACCGTTCATCGATTCAGAGCGGGCTCAGAAATGGCGACTGTCTCTGGCTTCTCTCTTGTTTTTCACAGTCCTGCTCTCTGATCACTTGTGGTTCTGCGCCGAGGCCAAGCTGACCCGGACCCGGGACAAAGAGCATCACCAACAGCAGCAGCAACAGCAGCAGCAGCAACAGCAGCAGCAACAGCAGCAGCAGCAGCGACAGCAGCAGCGACAGCGGCAGCAGCAGAGGCAGCGACAGCAGGAGCCCTCCTGGCCCGCGCTCCTGGCCAGCATGGGGGAGTCCTCGCCCGCCGCCCAGGCACACAGACTCCTCTCCGCCTCCTCGTCCCCCACCCTGCCCCCCTCCCCGGGAGGCGGCGGCGGCGGCAGCAAGGGCAACCGAGGCAAGAACAATCGGAGCAGGGCTCTTTTTCTAGGAAACTCTGCCAAGCCGGTGTGGCGCCTGGAGACTTGTTACCCTCAGGGCGCCTCCTCTGGTCAGTGCTTCACGGTGGAGAGCGCGGACTCGGTGTGCGCCAGGAACTGGAGTCAGGGGGCAGCCGCGGGGGAGAAACAGTCGTCCAGGGGCTCTCCGTCCACTCCGTTGTGGAACTTGTCGGATTTTTACCTTTCGTTTTGTAATTCCTACACACTTTGGGAGTTGTTTTCGGGGCTGTCCAGTCCCAGCACTTTGAACTGCAGTTTGGACGTGGTGCTCACAGAGGGCGGTGAGATGACCACGTGTAGACAGTGCGTCGAAGCTTACCAAGATTATGACCACCACGCTCAGGAGAAGTACGAAGAGTTTGAAAGTGTGCTGCATAAGTACCTACAGTCGGATGAGTACTCCGTGAAGTCATGTCCTGAGGACTGTAAGGTAGGAGCAGTGGGTTCCTTTCCCCTTCACTGCGGCTTTTTTTTTTTTTTTTTTTTTTCCGTCTGTTTCATTTGTTTATCTGGTACGGGTTTTTATAAGTTTAATCATTGTTTATCTGGCTATAAGAACTTGACTTTATGCTGAAGTTGCTGGCGGCCTGATGCCTTCCTTTGAGCATCCTTGGAAAATCAGCTGCTGTTTCTTCAAGCCATACCATTGGCTCTAACTCTGTTCCTGCTTGTCAGGAAGATAGAGAGGAGACCAGTGCACACAGGTAGTCAGTCAAAGAGACAGGGATGGAGAAGGCTGGTGGATCTGCCTATACCACTGCCTATACCACTTCCCACATACTGAAGTTGGTTGGCCACAGGAACAAGATAAAGTGTAGCTGTTGATGTAGGGAAAAACCAGCCAAACCTAGATATTTTATGGGTTTTATGGGGGGGGGTAGCTCTTGCTCCTCAGAAAGTCCAGGCCTGCTCTCCTCTAGGCTCCTGTTTTCTTATACACATGTGTAGTTATTGACGTGAGTGCAAGGCTGTAAATAGCTATCTACCAACTGATTCTCAATGTTAAGCTGGTGATCACACACCTTATGTAATTGACTTTTTTTTGGTAAACTCTGAAGAAATAGTACATGACAAATTTTTGGTTGAAATTCGTGGAAGTAATTAATAGCTTGTATTATAGTTAACAAGGTCTGTGACCTTGCTGATAAACAAGGGGAAAATCTAAGCGAGTTTCTTGGAAACTGGAGTTGAACCCCAGGGCTGCTGTCCGTAGTACTGAAATGGGGCTTGTTCAAGGAGGCCTAAATACCAAAGGCACTGCAGTGACCTTTAGCTGAGAAGAGACAGAGGTGTGGATGTTAGTTTATCAAATAACTCAAGAAAGTTGTATTGGTTTTCAAAAGAAATGGGACACCATAACTTTTCTTCCCTTTCCTATTTCCTGGACCCCATGCCTCAGGAACCTCCTTCCCTTGCCCTCAATGGAGGAAGGGTCAAGGGTTTTTCACTACAAAGGATCTGCAATTCTTTGACCCAGGGGTTACATTGTAAGTCAGCAGAGCTCAAGAGCCACACCTTACAGTTTAGCTAAATTTAATCTGACCTTGCTTATGGTCTTTCTTTCTTTTTCTTTTTTAAGATAGAAACTTGGACTGGAATTAAAAATCGTCAGTTTACACATCAATTAAAATTTCATTTCAGTGGATAAGGCAATATTTAAGTTCTTCATGTGTGTTTTAAACATACCTTATAATTCACTGCTAGGAAATAAAATTAGCTTTAGGGATAGAACCTAACAATGTAATGCTTACACTATGTTGCTATTTTTTTCCTGATGGAATTGTCCCAGAAAACATAAAGATATGGAAGTGATTGATGGTTCTATTACTAGTAGAAAGTGTCACATAGATTATAACAATTTACTGTTTAGAGTAATGTAAAAAATTTGAATTTGCCCACTTCTGTGACTGTGAAACCTCGTAAACATGTTTGTAATCTGAATTTCATTAGCTCAGTACTGAAGAGAGAGCATGTGTTGTCAATGGACTGCAGCCATTCTCTTCCTTAGTGGAAGTGTCCAGACACATGAAGAGTTTCTTTTTGTCTTCATCTGAATTAACTCTCAGCATGCAGTTTATATCTGTAATGGAAAGGTCTACTGTGAATATTTTTTAATATGTTAGGAGGCCCTCTAGATTATATTTTTGTTTTTGCATAAAATAGAATTTAACACTATAAAATCTTCAATCTTTTAAACAATTCCTCTTTGCACCAGAAAGTAAGCATAGATGTTTGTATCTCTCAGTGCAACAGGATTTATTATTGGAGATGCTTTGATGCCTTGAATTTATTTCTTGGTGATAGAGAGGTGGCAGTAGGGTATATTAATTTCATAAAAATGGTTTAAAAATATATAACTTGAGGTTCATAGTGCTAGTGTTCTTGGTTTAAGCTAAATGAACCAACTGGTTACACGGAGAAAATGATAAATGAATATTTCCTTAGTTTAATGGGTAATCTCTTTGATTCTGAGAAAGCCATATATATCTTCATACAAAATATAAAAGACAGTTTAAAGTGTTTGTTGATTTTGAAGGTTGGAACTGACTCTGAAAAAATTTGCTTGTTTCACCATAATTGCAATTACAAAATGACTACTGTCAGGAGCTTGCTTCAGATTTATGCAAAAAATTCCCCCCTCCCTTTTTTCTTTAGCACTTAAAAAGCTGGGGCAGGGTATCTAAGATACAAAAACTCAAAAGTAAATACATTGTGTCTCTGTATTGCTAATATACTCATAAAATACAATTTTATAAATATACTTATTGTAGACAAGATTTATAGCATCCTGTTAGGATTATAAATTAGTGGTATCCATATTTTAGGAGAAACAAATTAACGTTTTGGCTGATTTGGCACAGAGACATCTAACTTTTTTCAGTTAAGACTTATTATTATGTTTAATTTCATATTTTCCTCCCATTTGAAATCCATTCCATAAAATAAGGACACATTAAAATAAAATTTCATGTAACATTCCTTAAAGACCATTTTTGACTGGTTATGCATTTTAAGAATTATTAAATCTCCTCTAATATAATTATATGACTTGAAAAATGAACATTACAGTGCATACTGGTAACTTCATCACTGTGGGTCTGGGATGAAATCTTTGAGCATGGGCATAGCTTGTGGTTTGTTTTGTTTTGTTTGTTTGTTTTTGTATTGTCTTGAATTCATAATAAGTAGAGACAAAATACTGCCAATTTACTTTTCAAAGCCCTTATTTTGTAACACATTAGAAAAATAATCTGAAAAAAAAATGTACTCTGGTGTACTTTTTAACACTTAGGTAAATAGCTGGTTTAACTTTTTAAATAAAACCAGATATTGTATTTATGAAGAAATGTACATACATAAATATGGAACTTATATTTTGTCATTTAAGTTCCTTTTATTATACAAATCAGTTAGCAGAAGTTGTGGGTAGTTTTCCCTGTAGTTCTTGGTGGTATTCAAAACAGTGTCTTCAGCATATAATAAGAATCTGACAAATGTGTCAAAATCTTCAAGTTACAGACAATATCAAAAATGGAATTTTTATAAGCTCCAATTTACAAATATTTGTCATTTTTATACTTGACTTTTACAAGATTTTTCTCTTCTTGTCACAATTTTTTAAGTAAGTCCCATGCATTCTAAAAAAAAAAAAATACATTCTATGAAAGTGAGGTTTGAAGGTACGTATATTTTTTTTTCTTATAAGTAAGCTTTTGTTGCTACTGACATTATTTACTTAATATGCTTTCAGATACTTTACAAAAGAACACAGATTTGCGACTAGATTCTAACATAGGTCATGGCATAGTCTAAAGCTCAGTTATGTCTGTATAAATTCTAGTCTTCCTGTTGCCAGGAATGCATGGACTCTTGTCGTTTCATTTTTATAATCTCATGGTTAAGCAAATTATTGCTTGCATTTAGCAGACACAGACTACACGGCAACTCATGAACATCAAGGATGTGAATCTTCCTGAGAATATTTTGTATTTCCTTTTTCAGTCTGAACTGCTCACAGAACCACTCAGTTTGAGGTAGTAGAGTGTGAGATATGCAAATGTGGGTTTTCCATACAAATGAGCAAGCACAACAGTTCTTGGGATGGCTGAATTTGGTTGTCACTTGACATACCTGGGAAGAGGGACCCTCAAGTTAAGAATGCCCTCCATCGGATTGGCCTGTAGGCATGTCTGTGGAGTCTTTTTTTCTTGGTTGGCCATTGATTTAGGAGGGCCCAGCTCACAGTTGGAAGTGCCATCCCACAGCAGGAGGACTTGGGCTGTACAGGAAAGAGAGCTGGATTTTGAGTCTGGATGGAAGCCAGTAAATAATGCTGCCCTTTGCTCTCTGCTTCAGTTCCTGCTTCCAGGTTCCTTCCTTGAGTTCCTGCTCAGATTTTCTTGATGATGGTTTGAGGCATGGTGACATAAACTAAATAAATCCTTTCTTCTCTCATGTTGGATTTGGTCAGTGTTCTGTCACAGCATCAGTAATGCAAACCAGGATGGCCCTTAGTCTTACTTATTTTGGTGTGATATTCTGTAAGTTCACAGAGAAATAATTTAAAAAAAACATTTATTCCTTCTAGTTCATGTGTATATGTATGTGTCTGAGTGTATGTAGGTGCACCATGTACATGCAAGGTTCCACACAGGTCAGAGGAGGCATTCAATGCCCTGGAATTGGAGTTAAATACTGTTGTGAGCCACCATGTGGATGCTGGAAATTAAATCAAGGTCTTCTGCAAGAACAGAAAGTGTTCTTAACAAGTGACTGATCTCTCCAGCACCAGGACATGGTTTTTGGAAAGAAACTGCTGCACACAAGCCTTCAGCATTGCTTTGCTGTTCATAGTGACTGCACACATGTCACTGTCTAGAGGATGGAGAACACATTGAGGAATAGATCTCCACTTACATTTTGCTGCTTTGTTATTCTCAGTCATGTTTGTAATTGAATGATTTTTCTACAAAATCAGGTGGTCTGGCCTTGCAGATGAATAGACCACTTTAAAGTCAAAGATGCCATCATAATCATTTTATGATTCAGATTTATGGCTTTTAGAAATATGTTTGCAGTATTCAATTGTGGATTTATCATTGGCATTTTCCTCCTTATAGGGAAAACACGAATGTGAAATGTCTGCAGTATTCCAGACCAAGAGGTGTGTTTTTACTCAAGACTTGTAACTAGGTCAGATAGGCAGCTATATAGGACATAACCTAGATGTTGATGTATGTTGGTTTTAATCACTTTTGTTGGATGAGGTCAGTTTCTGCTTATGCAAGGTGAATTAAGGTGCAGAGGAATAGGAAACCAAGCAGAGGTCTGGACCTGAGATCCCTCATGTGGGAATTGTAATCCACTGTGATTGTTTTTCTTGCCAACCTACTATACAAGAACAAAATATAAGTAATATGTTTCAAGGAA